TTTCTTTAGCCCAATTAAAAAACTCATTTGGCATGTTTTTTCTTCATTCTTTTAGAAAAGAGGGAAACAACAAAAAACAGGCTTAAACCAAGAATATATTCATAAAACAAATTTCCATAGTATATTCCAAGGTTGTGTGGCCTGGTTTCATATATCTGTATTCAAATATTATAAATACTATAAAAATTAAACTCAAAAATTGACGGATTTTCAGAAAATCCATCCTAGTGAAAAGACAAGAGACACTGGCTCAGTTTGTAAGAATTTCCAGAGGCTTAGCTGATGGCCTACATAGAGATCTTTCTTGTTGTTTTAAGCAGGACCGCCAATCTATCCTACTTAACGGCTCAATGATAGTTTTACTTTGGCAAGGTGAAACAAGTGTACTGGTTAGGGTAAATGCCATGTGCAGTTAGTATTTAAGTGGCTGACCCCTGGGACACTGCAGCATCTCCTTCACTCTCCTGCAGGCTCAGTGCTGAACCACATGAGCCGTTTCCCTAATGTTCTGAGTGCTTCCCTCACGCTTCTGCCTACAATGCTCTTCCCCAGTCTGTCTGGCATATTCCCTTCCACAGGTGACTCATCTTTGTCTCTGCAATTCTAAGCACATATACTAGGTTCTCAATCAACAGCAAATGAGTACAAACTAGACCAGAAATATGAACTAATTCAGAAAGATTTTTAATGAAGTTAGGAATCAAAAAGGGCAAGTATTAGTCATTAAATAACAATAATGACAATTAACCAAAACATTACATTATTATATTACTCCAATTTACCATAGCAAGTTCAGCAAATTAACTAAAATGCACTATACTTTGCAAAGCTGCATTTCTATTTTAGCATATCTTAATCTAATTAAATAGGTACAGATTTTTAATTTTTGATCTGTAGGTTCTTGATCAAAATGTAACGAATCAGCTAAAGATTCTCATTTTCCATAAAAACCTTCTTAAACTAATTCTGCCCATAGTTACCTTCTCCTTTGTTAGAATTTCTTCAGTGCTTCTGGAAACCTAAAGCAAGTCATTTTATACTTGGAATGGAGTATATCAGCAGTATCACAGAAGTATTTTCTCATCTTTTTAATAAGTGTACCATATAGTACCTAAAATAGGGACTAAATCGTCAATGTATTTGGTGTTCTTCCACAGCAGCTAATACATTGCTGACCCCACTGTATTAAACAGCAGTCATTACAAAGTGTGGGGCTGGAAGTCAAATAGACTTGAGTTTTAATCTTGGCTCTACCACTTATTGGCAGTATATTTGCGCTACCTCATTTGTACAGTGGAGGCAGTACCCATCTTACAGTGTTCATGTGAGGAATAAATGAGATAATGCACGGAAAGCACTTAGCACAGTGCCTGAAATATGCAAGTGCTCGATAGGTAGTAAATACAATTATTCCATAATTTAGAATCAATGTGAAAAATTGCCTAAAGCCTGCCCTCTGCTAAATGATCCATAGTTTTGAGCTTCTCCTCTCATTTATCATTAACAAGAGATTTTTTTCAGAGCTACTGTTTCTCCTATGGAGCACTAACATGGGGCTAAAAGGAATTAGCAGACATGGGAAGCCAAAGCCAAGAATGAGCAAATGGCAGATGGTTCTTAAAGAATCAGGCAGAGAGGAAGCTATATGAGAAACAGGAACAGAGAATAAATAGCACTCTAGCTTTGTGCACTATTTCCTGGTGTCTCACCAGAGGCATACATACGATCTGATGTTTAGCTGTAGCATTTACAAGGTGTTTTTACATCTCACCAATTGTCTACCACAGCTGAGAGTCTCATGATTACCTGTTGTTGGTGACTGCTGTCAAGGGGGTTCCCCTTTTTGGGTACATGAAGATTTGACCAAAAAGGACCTTAGACTCCATATCACATTATTTTATTATACGAGTCAAACGCTGCTTATTTAATTACTGCATATCCTTTTTCTATATTATTCAGGTCCCTTATTTTTCTTTTTCTCCTGTCTATTGTAAGCTTGGGCTAGTAAGTTGGAGAAGGGAGAAGAAAAATAAAATTATTATCACATAATGTAACTATTTATAACATGCAAATAACCCAAAAGACTTAAATTAAGGTGTAGTATTTATGGATGCTCCAATAAATTAAAAATAATTTAAGTTACTGATTGAAGATTTGTTCCCCTTATTATGGATAAATGACATAAGAGATCGTGAAAATGAATTCTATCATATTTTTAAACGTACAACTTAGAAAACATACTTACTTTCCAAATCTCAACACGCCTGAAACATAAGTCTGCCAATGAGCACAATAAAACATGAACATCCCAATAAAAGAGCAGAAAAACAACCAGTCAGGATGAGTTCCTAAGCGAGCAGCAATTGAAGCTCCCACTGCCATAAACACTGAAAGAAAACAAGATTTAAGAACCATTAAGAATTAAAAATAATTAATGAAATCATTGCTCTGTGCCGCTTACAGAGTTTTAAGGGAATAATTCTGGCATTAAAATAAGGCATACTTAACAAAATGAATTCTTGAACATACTTTTTAAACGCACTATTCAAAATTGCTCCCAAGTATACACCTATCCAAAAAATTGACCAAACAGCTAAGTTCATTTTATTCTTAGGGTACCAGTACCAAAAAAAAAAAAAAAAAAAAACTATATATCTCCACTACTTTACCTGTAGAAAGAGAGTCACAACCATGGTCAAAGAGTTCCCCTAAAGGGGAACAAGAATTTGTTCTTCTGGCTTGTTTCCCATCAATAGCATCCAGTGACTGGTAGATAAAGAGTCCCAGTGCACATAATAGGTATGTCCAGTATGGTGCCTAAAAATAAATGCAAATAATAAAGACTGTTAAGTGACAACAAGCTAGCTCCTGTGTGAAAATAGCTCAACCTAAGCCAATCAACATATTTTCTTGGGCTCACACTTTGTACCATCTGTGTGTTACAAAGAACATTGATAACCTTCCTTCTACAGATGTGAAATTGAGAAATCAAATGAATTGCTCTGAGTCATCTGGGTAGACGGTCAGAGAAGTCCACACTGTGAGAAGCACAAAGTTAAATGGCTGAGCAAGGATTAGGGCCCTGATCTTGATTCCTAGTCCATGGCTCTTCTAATATAATACTATTCATATATGGCACAGCTTTGAAATTATTCAATACGTCTTTGCTATGAAAAAAGACCTTAGAGGCAAACTGCAGACACCTGCTTCTACTCATTATGGAGTATCAGGAACTGGATTTACTCTCCCACCTTATGTAACTGGAAAGTCAATAAAATATATGAAACAATAGTTCTCAGACATTGCAGGCAGCACAGGCCTGTGATCCCTGGGAGAAGGGAAACAAATGAGGCGAGCCCTACGATTGCTCCAGCTTACAGGCCGAAGTCAGTTTCCAGCCTAGAACAGAGCCCAGTAATCTTGCTGTGTTGAGGAGAAATGTATCAGCATTTCAGGAAGGTCAAGGCAGCCAGCACTCGTGGAGCAGAGGACCTGAGAGGAGGAAGCTATGCAGAGAGGAGCACAGGTTGTGGAGGTCTACAGAAAGGCACCCTTGCTGATCTGTGCCTGAATGAGACAAAACTACCAACCTAGGCCAGGGAAAGACGACTGGAATGTGGAAGGAAGGTCAAACAATTCTTGAAGCTCACACAAGGCTGGGAATAGTCCATGTTCTCACCGGGCAGAGCAGAAAGACCTTGTTAATACCTGGGGCATTAGGTAGACTTCTCAGAAGTGTATTGCCTTAGCAGCGGGCATAAATTAATCCTAGATCGAAGGCTTCTCTGGACAACCCTAACAAAACTTAAAATACAGACTCGAAACGATCCAATTAATTCCTAGTAACTTAACTGCAGTCAACACAAAGTATATCTTAGAAAAAAAAAAATCTAGCACCCCAAGATATAAAATTCAAAAGGTTTGGCATCCAATCAAAAATAAATAACTAAATAAATATCCAGTCATGCAAAGAAGCAGGAGAATAGGATCTACAACTAGAAATAAAATCAGTCAATACAATCAGAATATAATCAGAATCAATGCAAACAAATAATAGAATTAGCAGACAGGGACATTAAAATAGTTATCATAAATATGCTCCACATGTTCAAGTAGAGGAAAACATGAAAATTTTAAAAAGAAATGAAAGACTCAAGTGAAACCTATAGAAATGAAAAATACAGTATTTGAATTGTAAAATTCATAGCGTATTTGACACCGCAGAAGAAAAGATCAGTGAACTTGCAGACTACCCATGGAAACTATCCAAATTAATGCACAGAAAGAAAAAAAGCTAAAAATAATTGAACTGGGCACCAGTGACCTGTGGAACAGCAGAAAGCAGTCTAGCATATAAGCAATTGGAGTCTCAGAAAGAGAGAGGGTGGGGCATGGAAAACATTAAGAAGAAATAAAAGCTGAAAAATTTCTAAATTTGCTGAAATCTACAAACTCACATATACAAGAAGCTTAACAAAATCCAAGCAGCATATTTTTTAAAAACCCATCAAAGCACATAATAATCAAGTCAGTTAAAACCACTGATAAAGAGAAAATCATAAAAGCCAGAGGAAAAGACATATTACATGCAGAAGCACAGATAATAATGACAGAGGAAAGAGTAAGTAAACTTGAAGACAGATCAATAGAAATTATCTAATTTAAAAATATACACAAGATTTTAATAATGATCATTCTTTTCTTTCAGCATTTTATAAATGAATTCCACTTCCTCAGGGACCACGATAGCAACGTCAGCCCAGAATTCTACATCTTGGAGAGAAGTACAGCAAAATTGTTAAGAATTAGGGTTTTGAAGTTAGATCCATTTTGGAGTCCTTGGCTCTGTCACTTAATAGCCATGTGACTATGGGTAAGTCTTTTAACCTCTTTAAGACTTGGTGACTTCATCTGTAAAATGTAAATAATACTTACAGGTGAAAGTATCTTATGAAAAAATTTCTTAGCTCTTTACACAGAGCCTGGCATATAGTAACTGCTCAATAAAGGTCAACTATTGTCATTAAATTGTGTTTTGCATAGTTTTAGCAGCAAATATAATCTTTAAATACCAACCTATGTATGGTTTATGTGGTAATTCTATAAATATCCAATCAACTTGACTACCCCATTCTTCAATCTTTCTAAGTTTACTTTGAACTACCCTTAGTAAAGATTTTACCATTTGTTAACAATAAATGTACAGTATTAATGATTGCAGTACTAACTGTTTAAAAGGACTTATTAAGTCTCACCTATATAAAGGAAAATTAGTATAAATTAGAAATAATTTAAGAAGAGAAACAACCTGAGTTATAAACATACATGTTAGAATGTCACAGTTCTAATCAGCATATTTTTAAAAGCTTATCTGGAAACTATGAAACAATTTAAAAGAAAGCAAACAGATAACTGAAGAATCATGGCAGTACAAGAATGAAAAAACAAACAAACAAACAAAACACAACCCACCTAGAATCTTTTGAAAGAATCCCAAAGTATTTTGCAGAGAACGATTCTGTTAACCCTTTTCAAACTAGTAAATTTTGTTTTTCTTTTTTTTTGAGACAGTCTTGCTCTGTCTCCTGGCTAGAGTGCAGTGACATCATCATAGCTCACTGCAGCCTCAACCCTCTGGGCTCCAGTGATCCTCCTGCCTCAGCCTCCCAAATAGCTGGGACTACAGGCATGAGCCACGGTGCTCAGCCTTTTATGTCTTCTTTGGAGAAATGTCTATTCTGGTCTTTTCCTCATTTTTTTAATCAAGTTATTTGGTTTTCCAATATTGGGTTGTTTGAGTTCATTATAAATTCTGGATATTAAGCCCTTATCAGATATGTGATTTGCAAATATTTTTTCCCAATCTGTAGGCTGCTGTTTCATTTTGTTGTCTGTTCACTTTACTGTGCAGAAACTTTTTAGTTTGATGTAGTCTCATTTATTTATTTTTGCTTTTGTGGCCTGAGCTTTTGGTATGATATCCAAAATGCCATCACCGAGGCCAATATCCAGGAGCTTTCACCCTATGTTTTCTTCTAGTTTTATAGTTTCTGGGTCTTATATTTAGGTCTTTTATCCATTTTGAGTTGATTTTTGTATATGGTGTACGATATGGGTCCAAGTTCATTCTTTTTCATGTGGAAATCCAGTTTTCCCAGCATCATTTATTGAAGAGACTATCCTTTCCCCATTGAGACCTCTTGGTGCCTTGTCAAAAATTAGCTAATCATACCAAACTAGAAAATTCTTACTCATTTTTTCTACTACGAAAAATTATTTTGTTTTAATTTTGATGATCAAAGCAAAGTTATACTTTAAACATACATATAAAAATTGGAAGCTGAAGTTATTAAAATTTCTATAATGACATAAAATGTCATTTTTCTCTTTTCTATTTTCCATCAAATAACTCTTCCCCCAAAATGACAGAATTCTGAAAAGAATCATCTTACCTGAAGGATCTTCCATTTCTACCTTCCATGTAACTTTTTATACTGAAAATCTAGAGCTTCTCAAGGAGTACTCCCAAAGATAAATATTAAAAGCTTAATTCTGACCTCTGATCTCAGAGATTGGCTGCAGGCAGGTCTAAAGGTCAAGGTGTTAACAGAAATTCATGCTGAAATAAATTTGACACCACAGTTGGGGGTGGACTCTGCCCCAAATTACATCCTGCTCCTCATGTGGAAAAGGAAATGAAAACTATTTTCCCAGTTTAAAACTACTTCATCCTAATGAGGCATTAAGATTTAGGATTTAAATAAGGAAACAGAGACAGGGAGAATTTAAACAAGGAGAAGACAGAAAAAATCTAGGCACAAACCAAGGTAGAGGCCTGAAAGTGAAAGGTTCTCATGAGTCAGTGACTGCATCCATGTTCCTGGAACAGGTAATTATAAAGGTAAGATCACAAAGGTAACATGATCTTAAACAGTACAACAAAGGGCATTTTTAATACATCGTTTGATTTGATACAGAAATCCACAGAGATAGGGCAGTTACCGTCACATTCTTTATATTAAAGATGAAACTGAAACATGGGAGGGGTGATAATTCCCATCAAGGCAAGCAGTCTGGGAACAGAAATCAAACCCAGGTCTTCTGACTTGCCCTGTGAGATCTACCCCGCCTGAGGCTACACAGGCTGGATGGAGCTTCTCACCTGAATTCTCCACAAACTACCTATTCCATGAAACCTGCTGAGGAGCACTTTCCCCCTCACACGATAACAATTTCACGTGGTAGTGAACCACGGGAAATGGCTGCCAGCCACAAGAAGTCGCCTTTCTTTTAAACCCAGAAAAGTACACTGATCTGCCAATACCTCATCACTCCTTTTCCCCGTCTTCCCAAGGCCACCGGAGCCAGACCTATCTTCTCTTTTCCCTTCAGTCACCACCTCTGTCCCCACCTGGAAGTTACTAAATAGTCTGCAATTTTTCCAACTTCTTTTCTAACTTGTTACCTCTGCAAACAGGTTGGGATCTACTTGGCCAGGCACACAGAACGCCTTCCTTCCAGGAGTCTTTCCAAAAAGGGTACAATTACAGAGACTCCGAAAGAAAGCAGATCTACACAGCCACCCAATTCTAGTTTTCACATGAACTGATTTCCAAAAGTTTTAAAGGTAAGGATGGAAAAATCAGGCTTAGATTGTACATTATAAAGTCATAAGCAATATATGAGACTACCTCTATAGAAGGAACTTAATTCTAAATAGTAGAACTTTTCCAGGTAATACTAAATTCAAACATTTAAAGTTTTTAATTATATAGTTTTTATAATATCTACTGTATCTTGAAGATCAGAATTTAACA